CAAGGTTGCGACGGGACTGCGGAAGTGTATGATGGGTCAAAATATTTTAAGTTAATGTTGTGTTGCTGTTTCACAAAGTCCCGTGGTAATAATTATTACCATTGTGTTGAAAAAAAAAAAAAGTGCCAGCCCACGACAATGTACGACACTGCTGCTCGTTATTGGGTGGGTGTAAAGCGGAAGAGGGGGGGCAACGGCAAGTGAGAGTATCGTAGCGATGGCGACAGACACGGTCGCGGTCGTGTACGTATGCCGACGTGCTGCATATAGTATAGGTATACCTTGCACGGGTCTCCCCCAGCCCACTACCGTTTGCTATTATCATTGTTGTTGTAGTATATTCTGTAAGTAACAAACGAAAGGAGAAAGGACCGGTGGAGTGGACCGTGCGGCACACGCGGCCCCGAGAGAAAGTGTCCGGTCGTTCAGACGGTTCGGAAACGCGTTCCCCATCGACGTTCAGTGCACGCTCGTTCCGTTTTGTCAAATTTTCATTTTCAAAGCAGTTTCACTGTTCCATTTTGTACATTTTTACCGCCTGTGCGTTAAATTGATAGTGATTTTCCGCGTCGCCACAAACGAGCAAAGACCACGACGACTTTGGAAACGCCTGGGCCGCTTAAATGGATTCCTTATTGTCAAGGTACGTGTGTCGAACTACTGTACAACAAATTTTATTCGCCCATCACACTGTAATTAAAAACTTATATCTACATTTTTTTTTTTTTATTTTTGTTTATACATGTGCACACTTATCATTTTGTAGGACGCTTTGGGCTGACGCTTCTTTTCTGTGGCGCACGCGCGTACGGGTAGAACCTTGAACGTGACCGTAGGTCGGTTTAGGTATACTACTGACACCACCTTGATTTTCCCGTCATTGTACAAAAACCCGGACGGTTATACGAAGTGAAGACACAAGATCGTCGGCAACGCCAAAAGGTCGTGTTTTGTAGAAGACTTTCTAATTATTGACATTTCTACGGGACATAACGCGGCTTTTCGTTTAGTTTGATAGTAGTGATTCTTTCTACGTGGAATTTTTCATTATCTCGAACTCTATTTAGTCCATTAGAGTTATGTTTTATATATTTTCGTAAAACTCGATAACTCGACATTTTCTGTTCCCCTCTGGATACGTGTTTTGTATGATATTTTTTTAGCATTAGGTTAAGCTCCCGCGAAAATTAGGCGCGATTTCTATTCGTCTAAATACAACAGACACACGAGTCTAAAGGCGACTGTAGTCTGTGCCGACGGGGGTCATTGTATTGTCATGTGTTTTACCGAGCATTCTATTTATACTCGTGTATTCCCCGAAATCTAGATATTGAAATTTATTCATGTTTATCACTGTGTTGCGTGCAATGTACTGTGTGAAATTTTGATTTTTACCACCGGGTCGACGACCAATTTTGACACATTTCAATTTTTACGCCTACTCTTGTAGTCTTCATAAAAGTGAATGAACTCAATTCGCGACACGTGCTGTTACTTTATGATTATTTGCTCTTCTATATCCCTTAACAATGCCCACTTAACCGTTGCCAACTATTTTGTGCTGTCTTTGGTACTTTCTTCAATTTTAGATATCATTTCTTTTGTACTTTTATCAGTCAGCAGTGTAATTTTCAAATAACTTCTAACATTTAGTCTAAATCTGAAAATTGTTTACCCAAATTTTCTATATTTGAGTATGTTTAACTTGTGGCTTCCAAGTCTTTTAATTAGACAAAACTCACGATTAATCAAACTACTTATAACTTGCCTGCAAAAATCGTCAACATTTTAAAATGAATAGATGTTATTTTCTTTGGTATTAGTTTAATGCTAAACTCAGTCGGATAGAAACGTTATTTCCTTCTGAACGATTTCCTTGAAGTCGCACCACCAATGTCTTGGATAAGGTCAATCGTAGTTGTATTTCCTTATTGTGTGTGTGTCGTTCCAATGTAAAGAAGTGGTCTCTGAGTACAATAATGGATTCCTGTTAAATTGAAAATTCGTAAAACTATAATTTCACGAATAATTTTTGTAAACTAACAGATTTTTATTGAAAAAAAGTATTATCTAATCTGGCGCTGTCGAAATCAAATTAAAAAATAACACCCCATTATAAACTCGCTGTTAATCGTGATGTTCTCATGTCAATCCCCAGGCAAAATAAGGGGACTTTGCATACTTAACAGCCAATATATTTTGAAAGGTTGTACTTTTTGTCGTATTGAAATATTTTTAAAGATAAATAATTTAACTCCCCAAAATTGTGTTATTTGCACCTATAGTTGACCTTTTATAAATTTCAGCAATTAGTAATGGTTTAAGTCGATCGGATGGTGTCGCATACATTCCATTATTATTTTCCATATGGGGGGGGGGGTACAATGTATTATATACGGTTATTCCATTGGTAATAATCGCGAAGCCTATCTAAAAAATTCGAGTTAGACATGTCACGGGTTACAATGCATATTTATTAAATTAATTGTGTATGTAAAAAAAAAATACATATTGGACATATGTATGTATAGAATTATTGAATTTTGTGGTGTCGACATAGAGATTGTCGCCAAATAGAACAGTAGCGCAACCTTGACGCTATCTCAGTTGCCGCAATAGCATTTCCTCTTTTAAGTTATCAAAGTTAATAATGAAAAAGGTCGATGTGAACGGCCGCTTTTGTGGTAACTCTTTGACTGGTGGTTACGGTTAAACATCCTATAGGTGAAAGGTTGTGTTAAATCGTCCGGGTTGATGTACAATGACTGGTTACGGTTTTGTTCTATTGGTTTACAGTTGTTCGTTTTCCTGTTTTGATTGAATAACAGATACAGCCGACCGGCTGACGCGCCGAGTACCTACGCAAGAACTTTTACTATCACTTTCCGTAATATCCTCAGGACGTTCCGTTACCTATGTAATATCAGTGCAGCACGTTAATATGAGGTGTAATAAATTAAGCGTAATTGAGTTGTCATTATACAGTTATTGTTTGCTTATATGTGTACTGATTAAAGGGTTATTTTTAAACACTATTAATGCACAAATTTCAGTTAAATTACTCTCCAAGGACACAAATCGCCTAATTTTCTGACCGCTAATAATCTTTAACTGTACACGACTTTTAACTTTTCATATTTACAACATTGTCGTGTAAAAATAATTCATTTATAACTCTTAATGATTGTCGAGAAGTTGACTTTTTTTTTTTTAATATATTTTCCCTAGAATTGAGTACCACCAACTGATATATTTTACTAAAATGTAATTCAATTAATATACTATTGTATGTGTACAGGGTGCAACAGATTTAACTGATAACTATTATAACTTTTGATACAATTAAAATTTCGCTGTATTTATTTTTGAACAATTTGTGCGCATTGTTAGACTACGTTAAAAGTATATTTTTATTGTTTATTCTTAATAGCATAAAAAATAAAAAAATTACTTTTCAAAGTTTAAAAACAGCTTTTTTAAGAGATTTTCTTAGGAAAAGTTTCGTTGGGTCGACAACAACTTTAGAATAGATAATTGTTGAATTTAAAACGTTTTTATACATTGAGAGGGTATTTTAGCGAGTAGGTATAACTGGTACTGGTGTACATTCATAACGCATACTCCACTCGTGCTACTTACTCTCTTTATGTATTAAAATGCTTGTGACTCAATAAGTACTTATTCGATCTATCGACATTTTTTGTAAAAAAGCTCTAAATAGGACTTTAAAAATAAACAGTAATAAAATATTTACTTTTAACGCAGTCTAAGAATGCATAAACTGTTTAAAAAATATAAATTACAATGAAATGTTTATTGGATCAAACGTTGATTAGAGATTTATTAAAAACACTACCCAACATTTCCTAGTTTGATAATAAAATAATGATTTAATTTTATGAGCTATAGTAAATATCAAGTTAATTGTAAAAAATAAAACATTCAAGAGTAATTTTTTGAGGAAACTTTCGAAAGTCAAATGAGAAGCTTTTATTATTTTTGTACTATTAAATGGATAATGGTTTAAATAAAATGTTGACTGGTGGTTTTTGTATTATTACTTTTTGAAATATTAGCAATTAAAGATGTACATGAGGTAACGGAGTGTGGAAGTGTTATACAATGCTCTATTTTTATTATAACGCACAAATAAAAATAACACTTGTACGTTTTGCGCCCCTAGTGACATAACTAAAAATTACATTAACACTAAAGTTTAGATTAAGTATAAATTTTTATTAAATTCCATTTTCCATTTAGATGTATGAAAATTATAATAGGTTCCCATTTAACTTTCCAATGTTATTTCTAAAATTTATCCTTAGAAATAATTTTTTCTTACAATAAACTTGATATTTCCTATGATTTATAAATAAATTAAATTTTAATCTGTACATTTTTATGAAAAAATTATTCAACGAAAATATCGGTGGGTGGGGGGTGTAATATTCTTAATAAATCATATTACGTATATTCCTAATACTGTTTGTGGTAACTAATATACTTTCGGTGAGAACTCTTGTGTATTTATATTACTGTTGTGAATAATTACCAAGTTTGGTGCTCAAGATTTCTGTAGGAACGTTTTACCATTATAACATACATAACAGAGTTCAATGCTCCCTAAGCACATTGCCACAGTCGGCATAATCAAAACGCCTTCCTTAACATTAACGTAGATGGACTGGCTCAATGCCGCTCTATTCGCCACTTTCACTTTTGCGTTCGCACGAAGGCCTTGGGCCGTAACCAGTGTAGCCAGATGTTAGCTAACCAGAACCGTAATCATTACACCTCCAAGACGGTGTAACTCTTTGGAATAGCCGTAACTGCCTGACTCCCAAAAACTCAAAGACACACCAATCCCATCCTGTAAACGATAATATTAAATACAATACAGTGTGGGTTTAGGATAATTCGTACGGCAGCCCTGAGGCATTGTGGTAGGCACAAATGGCATTTCATTATAAATATGGATTATTTTTACGGTTATGTTTTAGAACTCTGATGATGTGAATTGAAAACCGCGATAAATGTGTAAAGTGGCGAAGATCGTTGAAGATTACGAATAAAAAATTAAAATGACACAGACGTTTGAAGACACAAGTACATAATGCAAATTATTATTATATTTCTGTGACGTGTGTGAAAAGGGGAACGGGCGTTCGTTTATTTTCATTCTCTTAATTTAATTATTTTGATCCGACTAAAACTTAGCATGATATAAAAAGTACTTTTAATTGGAAAACTGAATGTCGCCCCTTCTTCTGTTGCAGACACGCCATATACGCTACAGATATTATTTATCGGTGTAATGATGTACGACTAACAATAATTCAAGTCTCCTCCCACGACTTACCTAAAGGCGCATAATAATATTACAACAGCGTTATAAAATATTTATATTATTATTATCGTGACAGTGAAATGTGTACGTTCAGATTTGCACGTGCGATTTTTTTTTGTACGCTGAACATCCTTATCCAAAGTAAATGGCGGTAGATGGGGGTTTTTTAACTAGTGTTCAGCAAACCGCGTTCACAATAACACCTGTACAAGGTGATCATACGAAAAAAGTGTTCGAGGTTTTTGACCCCTCGCATTCGACCTTCCAAGTGTCCACCTTCGTGCAACTAGTCCAGGGACACCTGGTGTATAGCGAATTATGAAAATCTGGAATTATCGAACGCGCGTTTGCGAGTACAGCGAGAAATTAGTTCCATTAAAATCACGTCTGTATTTCCATTGCGACTCGGATCGGACTACTAATTTTAAGAATGTAGAAAAATTGATGGAAACACACAGCCGTAAAAACGCACTCATGCCCGTCAGGCACCAGTTTATCGGCGCAATCCACGTGTCACATGGTTGTAGTCAAGCAGCTAAATTGCAGCTGAGACATAAGAAGGGCTCGACCAAAGTAAGTTGCACGTAAATGATACGCGACAAGTTCAATTAAAAAACTCATAACAAAACACGAACGCGTTAAAAAATATAATTATAGATATTCGAAGAGGGAGGAAATGGGAACGAATGGTTTGCAGAGTTCATTGTATTGTATTTTGATGTGCAAGCGCTGGGACATCGTGTGTATACGCTAATAACCTTGGCCCGGTTGTTCTGCTGCGAGTCGACGATTATAAGCACCGCACTGCCATCGCGTCTTACGGCCGAAAAATATTACTTGTGTCGCAATAGAACTTTAACTCGTAACAAAAAAAAAAAAAAAAAACCAATGAATTTCAATTAAGTATTCCACCAGTAGTTCCAACGGCGCGACTGTCGCGTGTTGCCCGCAACACAACGTTATGAGATAAGATAAGCTGCTTCCATACATGCTTTCCCGTTACGAACAAGTTGAAATACAATGTAATATAAAACGCTACTTAATGTATGCGCATTAATTGCCAAACGGTTACAACGGCCAATTGTGTACTGTATACTACTCCACCTACACACACTTTGCCACTGGTAAAACGGGCCCGTCGTTTAAACCCGACGATGGTGACGCTTTTAATTAACCGCGTTTGCTGCACCGTTATTATTCGGTCAATGCTAACGATTGTAGTCGACTTGGAGGAATCGTTCGGCGGTTGTTTTATGACGGAGAAGGATGTCAACGTTTATTCACAACCTCTAAACGACCAGCGGCGTAGTTCGAGCGAACGGCGCTGGAATTAATTATTAGGCCGGTGCGGTTCAAGGCAGGTTGAAGCTTCAAGGACCAATTTATTGTGACAACCTAATATCGCAGCTATTGTTCGATTGTATTTTGTTGTTTTTTTTTTTTTCCAACCAGTACGGCAAATAAACAAAACTCGCAAGTGTACACAATATACAGTTACGCCGTTAATTTGTTTTCGTAACGGTTTTTTGATATCGATGACATCCATACAAATTCCGTTTGAAGTTTTTTAAAATCGAATTATTACGAGCTTATACGTTGTTTCCATGATTTTTCCTTTGCAAATGACATTACGACATAAGAATAGTCTTCTTCGCTATCGATTCATTCGTTCCTATTTAAAATTAATATCGGCCCAATAGTTGTGCTCGAAACAGTATTTTTTTGTTAGTCTAATGCGTTTGATTATTATTATTTTTTAATCTCGTTCGACGTTCTCACCAAAGGCCATCTCTTGTGCCTTTAGTGCACGGCTAAACCGACATGGGCCAATGCAACGCAATAGTACCCCAGTACCTAAGCACGGTCAAATGCATTAGTCTTTCATTTAATTATTGAATTTCGATTACTCAACCTCGTCGAGTTAGTATAATACTGTTTTTTTTTTTTTCATTTTAACCAACTAATCGTTATTATTTAGTAGCACTAAGCGATAACCGCTAACACTATTCAGTAGGTTCATTTTTTTTTTTTAACTAGTTAATGCACAATTAAGTAATTTCCAATTGGACCGAGCTAATTAGTTTTCATTAACACTCTTAGGTTTTTAGTTTGTATTTAAATTTTTGCTCTATTAAATCCGAATAGTTAAAAATTGATTTTTTTCATCTACTCTATTAATGCCATTTTGGTTGTTTGTACTTGAAACGCAATTTTTCAGCGTCGTATCAACTTTGTTTTCATGGCTCAAGTTTAAAAAATCATGAACATTGTCAATAGAACGTTGTCTCTTTCGCATCACGCATTTAAATATATCACTGACGTTATTTTATTTTTAATATACGCGTTATGTGGCAAATAAAACCAGTGTTAACTTAGCGGGTACTGTTTTCTAGCAAACAAACATATTTTTTCACGATTCGAGAGTACATAGAATGTCAATTTTCGACTGGTAAAGGTGCGCACATAATCGAAATGACGTTATTGTTTTGCCTTTGGCGACCGTGTCATGATTATCTTTGTGATCGTGATCACACACGACATTCAAATGGTAAATTTATTACTCTAAAGTTTAATGTCAATACAAGGCCTAAACGTCGTCTCTAAAAACATTATCCCGAACTTGGGGGGGTCTAGTCAAAATCACTTAAAAATACCAGTCGCTGACACGTGTAATTAGTCATTATTATTGGAGTTGATGTCTACGCAGTATAGGATATGTGACATAGATAATAACGAGCGGTGGAAATGCTATTTGAATAATACGCGTTCATCAGGCGAACAATAAAATAAACCGTCATGGGATTTTCTAATAGAATTCTTTGCGCGTTTGATTGCACACCAATAAAAAAACGACAATCCATTATTTTATTGCGTCATCACGTTAAAAGTTTTGCGGGATGTCCGTTACATTGGCTGCTTATACGAATTATACACACGAGTCGGTCTCGTGGAAGACGTGCAGTCGATGACGGCCAAAGTAATTATTGCGACCATCGAATGTGTGCACAGATACGTTCCATTGGAAACGCGCTGAGCGATTGGCAAAGGGGAGAGGAAGAGTAGTCGGAGAAATATACGACCTTTGCACTAACCGAGATCTCGGTCGCCGGGTCGTTGGCCGGCCGACAACGGGTGCGAGGTTTTTGCCGCCCGTTTCGCCTTGAACTCGTTTCCAACGATAGGCGGACGGCCGGTATATTGCTATTGTAGCCTATTTTATATGCCGTGTAAAATTTAAACGTTTGTTTCTAATTTTTTTTTTTTTTTATATCCCATAACGTCAAATTAGACTTATCGAAAAGTTTGACGCGTAAAAACAAATTGTAGCTGTTCTCTGACACCGTTGTAAAAAAGTAGGCGCCCGCGGATCCTCCGGGTATTTTTTTTCACGTCGTGCGCATGGCAACCGGTGTTTACAGTAGCGTTGAGCGTTGAAAAATAAAAAAACACAATTGGCCGGTCGCTATTGAGTAACAAAAGATGATCAGAAATAACATGATATTTGCCGTCCATGCAAAAATCGTCCAAAACTAGGTTTCGCACTTTGGAAAACATTGCCACAGTTTTTCGCATACGACTGCGCTGTCGGCGTGTATTCGATGAAATCTAATGTAAATAATAAATAAACGCGGCGGTTATTTATGAAAATCCGTTTGTTGTTGTTATTGTTAAAAGAACTGTTCGTCGACAACCTTGATCGTCTTACGGTATTCCTGTCCGGCAGCAGCAATTTTTCGAGTTCTTTCGAAAGAAAAATCACCCGATTGCGCCGCCGTGTATCGCTCAAAACATTACCGTTTCCCCGTTTGCGCCACCCGTTTGTGGCGGTGACGAATTTCCAAACCTATCCCGGCGGTCCGACTCGGACGCCAAACACGTACCTAGCCGTTAATATCGTTACGTTTGTCGCTGTGGTGATCGGCAGAACGCCTGACACCGTGTCGGACTATCGTTAATTGGGCCGCTGTTTTTTTTTCCTCGTGTTTTGGCCGTGCAAAATATGTGTCGCGTCGTCGTCGTTTTCCGAGAAATTCTCTGTACATATCTGCCGCAATCGCAGTTATCTTCCAAGAACCGGCCGCCTCTCGTTTTTAACGCTCAAACGCGTTCAGCAAACATTCTATTTTTAAGCCGCCGACTTTTTGGCGCGGTACTCGTTTTTTAATCCGACACACCGACGGATGGCGGTGAAAAAAAAAACGTATTCCTGTTACGACTCAAATGCGATGAAAAATGTACGCATCGTTTGTATTAAATTCAACATGAACATGAACTTGATTGTCTTGCGGTAATAAAATAGAACCATGACGTTGAAATTATGCGTTCAACTCAAACTTAATTGTTGTACGGATCGTGTTTCTAAATGAACTTTTGTCCGTTTGATTATGAAAGTATGTGGTTTGCCTTTTTACAACATTGTTAAGTTGCCGATCGCAATTTTCTAAACCAACACAGCGCGTTTTATCTGAATTATTATATATTATTATTTGTAGTTTACGATTAAAGGTACTAATTGTTTTTTACATTCGAGTTGGATTCGTTTAAAAGTGTTATCTCGCAGGAAAAATGATTTAGTATAATATTATTTCTACACGAATAATGAAGAGTCCCATGACGTAATACGTTTAATAGTTATATGGAAAATAAATTCGACCTACATTTTACAACGCACACACACGTTGCCGTATCAATTGTTTGTACGGCTGTCGGGCTAATGATCCAACGGCGGCGTAATTGTATACGAGAGTTGTTGTAAGGAAAATAATATATTAGCCGTTCGTTAAACATTTTGCAGCTCTATGGTTTTTTTTCGTTTTCCACATACGCTCATTGAATTGTTAACGTAAATGCACCGAAAAATGATAACTGAGCAATGGTTATTGTAATAAGTCTATCGCGTGTGATTCACTTGAGAGAGGAGGTTTTTTCTTTTGTCTACTCGAATGACGTTTGAGAGAACACTTTTTTCCGCGTAGATAAAGTCGACATTTTACAAAAGGCTCGGAAGTTATATACATTCAAGAGAGTTATAATTACAACTCCGCCCCTATCTTTCTCTCTCTGGTAAACAATTGCTCATCATAAGTTTTTTCGTGTCACATTCAAAATTTGATCGCGTCTTGTAGTAATCACTTCTAATGGTATTTCATTAATAATTGGGTCGATGCAATAATTGGAACGATGAACACAGACAGATTGCTCTATTATTTTTAATTGTCTGTTGATGTGTTAGTTTGTTATAAAATTCATGTATTGGAATCCACTAAAAGTCATTATATGATGGTCGGTCAATAACGGAAACTCGTGGAGAGTTAGATGATTTCGACCAAATGAAAACAGACGTTCCTACTATCTCTATTTATTCTCTGGGTATACGTGATTGCAATAACGATTTGCACTGTTAAATCATTTTTATAAGTCTGCGACGACGCAGTTGTTACTAAAGGACGTGTAATTTAAAAAAAAATTGAAGGACGTTTGGACAAAACAAAACCTCCAACGTTCGACACGGTCCACCGCTTCGAGAATGCCTTTCCAGCGTGTATATCAGTGATTTTTTTCTATATTTTCTATCTAATATTTCATATCTTTAGGCGATAGAAAAATTACGAAATCCGGATGTAATAACTTTCATTGAGGTCTCGGCTTTGGATAACATTCCGATTTCAAAATCTAAGCTGACCACGTGTCTGTTTGTTAAAATACTGCTGTACAGTTAAGATAAAACAGGGGCGTCATTTCAGATTGTATTAGACTGCGGGGCAAATTTTTGACCGGCCATTATTTCCCAAATCCCTTCGCTTTGTTCGCGATTTATCCCCATAAAATAACCACAAAACTAATTATATTACAAGAAAAAACTCTTTTCAAAAAATGACTATATGAATTTTTTTTACAATTGTAACATAAACAAAAAATAATTTTTTAATATTTACGCTAATTTAAAGGATAGAGTTTTATAATGAAAAAACAGTATATATATATCATATCAAAAATTCACTGAAATTAATAATATACCTCTCTAAAATAAGATATAATGAAAAAACTTAAATTTAGCCACCCCAATACATTTTTATCGAATTTTTTTCTATTCAAAAGTGGAAATTTTGACTTTTCTGCTAAAATTGCGTTTTAGAACACTGTACGGCCCTAATATACACTGAAAATGTAGACTGAGGAAAATGTCCAAATGGCCCCCCCCCCACACAGATGATGACTCTGAGATAAAGGGTGGATACGATAGCTACTTTAGAGAACTTTGATAAATATTTGTACACGTGAAAAACGTTTTTGCTTTTCAGTCGGCTACAGAGTTGTTCAAATGTGGTTTTAAAAAATTGCGAGTTAAAATGATTACATTTAATTCAAGTATCAAATATATAGACATTTTTTTGGGACAAAACCTGGTAAATAAGTCTCATCTCGAAGCTAAATTTTTTTTATCGCCGCGTTGCCAACACTTATATGTGTAATGTGTAATGAAGCGTTTTGTCAAACAAAGCTTAACTCCAGTCGCCTTAACTTAGTCAAACGATCGTTTTAAACCAACGAATCACATTGCCGTGTGTAAATTATGCTAACGTGGCCATATAATTTTGACGGCACCGAATGTCCTTCGGAATTTCAAAGAAAATTTCTATAACATGTAAACGTTTCAAATCTAATCCGGTAGACAATCCACTAACTCGACGTGAAACTCTTTCGACAGTCACTTTACCACAGCCGACAAATGGGTTAAATAACAAACTGTTGTCGTTATGTAACTCTTATTATTGGGATTCGGTTGGGAATCTTGGAATCGAGTAAACAAGTCGTAATTCAAACACTGCTTTCGTTTTTATATTTTTTAATTTAACGATTTATTCATTAAACGGCCCCCTTTTTTTTTCTTCTTCGCGAAAACCTCTGTTGCAATTGGCGGTGTCAAAATCGATTCTGTACCGTCAGGACCGGGTCAATACGACATTATTATGCACGCGCCTCCCCTTACATTTCATCAAGAGGGGCTGTTCGGCCTAGTGACTGATATTTTATCCCCTCCACGTATAACACAGGACTATTGATTACTGCACGGTTCATACATTAACGCACTCCAGATGCTCTCGTGTGGGTGTATAATATACACACAACGTACGTGTGTAAACACGATTATTTTAGGCCTGTGTGTGTGTGTGTGTGTAGTACTTCTGTGTTGTAAAAAACACGAATAGCACGCGGCCAGCAACCGCGTCCGGACATAGCGATTTCGCAACGCGCTAGTCGCCGGCAATTGTATCATCAGTGTTGGGCGGTTACCTAGCGCACATCAATCAAATACATGTCTATTACTAACTCCACATACATTGTACAATTGACGTGTGTATTAGACGGCAAAAAAAAAAAAAGAGGTATGCAACGGAACGGCGGCCGTTTTTTTTTTTTTTTCTCCAAAACGATTTGTTCGATGTGTTTTCGAGTAACGTTCCATGCGCGTTGTTTATTATCGTTTTAGGGTGTGCTGGGGGAATTTTCGGGGTGTCGTCATCTGCACACGAAAATGATATGTGCGCTATCATCCGTCGCCGCCGCCGTCGTTTCGGAGTTACGCAACGCGCATACTTTCTTTGTAAGTTTCGGACTGCCATTTGTATTCATAAAGGGGCCGATGGTTTATACAGTTGTGTGGTACAAAAATAGAGAAATGGAAAAGTGTCGTTTCGACGTGTGTTTTGACGATGTTACGCGGCGGTGGCCGCCGCCGAACGGGTGGGCGAACTCGCACTGCGCTGACCTACTTACCAGATCGCAGGTTACCGACCTCTTCCCTCTTTCGTTTACACCGGCGGCGGCCAGGCCCCACTTATAACCTTCACGCGATACACACACCGTCATTCGCCGACAGTGGCCTCATCCACCATTGGCCGCGTCCCACCAAAAAACCAACGGCAAAAAAAAAAATAAAAACTCCGTACGATTTGCATTACGACAACGTTACTCGGCCGGATTGCACAAGCCTCCCGCGTATTATATGTACATTATATACATGTATTATTGTTGTACGCGTTCCTTCTCTTTCTATCCAACCGCTTTTCACCGCTCGCCGTTTCCATAGCCGTGTCGCGCTTCATTCTCAGCTGATAGTCATCGATTTTCGGACGCCAGTTTCGTTTTTCATTATTGCGGTTCACTGTACAGTGAAAAATTATCGCCAACATAATTATTCTACTTTAATCGGTACACTACTACTGTAGTTTTGTATCGGTTTTGGAGTCTTCCATATCGACGACGATAAGGGAATTGCGAATTTTTGCGTTTTGTTATTGTTTATTTTTTTTGTGTGTTCATCAACGGACTGGACGATATCCTTGGGACGCCGAAAGGTTGGGCGTTACCCCCGGAGAGATGCCGGGACGCGGTTGTTTTGTGGTACTACTACGGGGCGTGTACGGTACTACTACGGCGGTGGTGGCGGCGGCCAAGGCAAAAGATTGAAGGGAAAGTGACAGTGTTCGTTGGTATATCGAGCGCGTCGTGTACACTTAGCTGTTCCGCTGACAGTTATATTCAATACGTGCAAAAATTATTTAACTGTAAAACTTTCCTCTTGGCGGCCGCGTACGTTCGTCTAGTGTTTTTTTTTTTTTTTTTTTTTTTCGCAGTGTTCAGAATAAAGTCGAAACTACTCTGTTCGTTCAATATGTGAACGGTCGAGAGTGGATTTTTTTATGATTTCTTTTTTTAAATAAACATTTTTCTCATGGTTAACCGAATTTTAAATCGAGGTAAAATTTAGTTCGCCCATGGCTGACAAATATTAACTATAAAATATATGAAATGCGATTCCTTAATAATAAAAAACTTAATTTAAAGTGATTCGAAAAATGGCTGATATTTTAACGGTGAACTAATGTTGTTCGTTATTGTTTGTTGACAGGAATTATGACCCTAACAAGTACCCCGTGTGACCTGAGTACCATGAGTCTGTTTCAAGACCTGAAACTGAAGAGGCGCAAAATAGATTCGAGGTGTAGCAGTGACGGTAAGAAACAAATTTAATACTTATTCATAATTATTATTCACTATGATATGCGCGTATTGCACTGACTAGACGATTTTCTTTTTACTCTGGTAAATAACTGGTTCATTAGATTATTTTAAACTGGTTTCACGTGCATCTTTTCGGCGGCTTTATTAAAAGAAAGTGTTTTTGTGTGCGTAGGTCAGACTTGGAATAAATACCAGGCGTGAAGTACTCGAACACTTAGTCAATCGCAGTAAATATTTCTTAGCAAAAAATGTGTACTTATTAATTAATAATATTAATTTGCCAAAAAAAAAGTACTCGTGGGTATTTCCTTTGTTTGTAAATCACCTTAAGTCATATCGAAGTTTGGTGACGTCTCATATAGTTTTTAATGGCTTTTGCGTGTATACATAATACGAGTAGAGTTCTACATTGTATTTTCCTCCCTCGTTTCGCTTGNCAAAAAGTACTCGTGGGCACTTCCTTTGTTTGTAAATCACCATAAGTCATATCGAAGTTTGGTGACGTCTCATGGTGCTCATATAGTTTTTAATGGCTTTTGCGTGTATACATAATACGAGTAGAGTTCTACATTGTATTTTCCTCCCTCGTTTCGCTTGCACCCGGAAAATAAGCCGTACCTCTATAATTTTCCCGCTTTTGCCGTCACCCTCTAAAACAATTTATATACCCTCAATGTGGGGGATGAAATTTGGGTCAAAGCTAAATTAGTTGTCAGTTGGATTGTCTCGTTACGAGAGAGATGTTTTCGTGTTCATACGGAAATCTCTCCCTTTAATTTTAATAATAATTTTCATAACAGCCAAGAAAAATAAATAAGATCATCGCGACTGTTTTATTACAAAACTTGTAAATAGTCAATGTTGCTGTCATCAATATTTAAGTGCAATTTGTTATCGTCGTGTTCAATTCCCTTTAAACGCACAATGCCATCACATTTAAAACGAGAGCATGATTTCAAAATGTAAACAATAACGCTAAAAAAGCTTGTGAGATGTATGAAACTTTGTGTGTACATAAAAAAAATGTTTTGTTTGAATGTGTAATTACACAAATAGTATCGTGGATTTAGCTGTGATGTTGCTTATTATTTTATGTTTAAAAGTAAACAATATATTAAAATAATGGTTTGAATGAAATAACCCAGTATTTTAAAAACAATTTTATAATAGCTAAAAATATATCTATAAATTATTTTGGTTTGTGTAAACGTTGTATACCTTTTGTTAATAAATTTAATGAATCTAAAAGTTAGTAAATATGTTAATAAAAAAGTTAATAAATCTAATTTTAGAATCGGATATTATTATTCAAGCTCTATTAAGTGATACTTGTAGTCAGACAACTTATAAATGACGGGGTGTGGGTAAATTTTATAAATATAGTCTATTGCAATCAACGAATAGGTCTTGATGTTCCCATTAAACCCATTAAATTCGTATCATTATTATTATCATTAATCATTATCTAACCGTTAGATAATGATTACTATATTAAAAATAGTAATACGAGTCATTGAGCAGAATATTAAAAAATACAAAACTCATCTGTATCAGAAATTCTCCGTTCCTTTAAAATGTGTTAAAAATGTGGCGAAATTTCTAACTAATGCAAAATAACGTTAAAATATTTTTTATCTTATTTGAAAGATATTTCAAAAGATCAACAATCAGATATTGAATGTGTTGACTATTTCGTTTCCACAAATAAAAAGATACGATTATTGTGTATGGTTAGAAAAAAAAAACTGTGGGTCAATTTAGTAAAACACAACCACCTAGAGCTTCGTATTTCCTTAACACGATGCACTTGCCCTTCTCGTATAATAATATTTAACCGTGACGACAACTCATTCATTAATCGTCCCCTCTTGACAGCAGGAACCAACCATTTAACCTACTGACCGAAACAAATTGATACATCACAATGTTTACTGAATTTTTTGCCGTTTCCATCCGCATTATATGAATACGTCAACGACAATGTTGGTCATCTTCTCATACCCCAAAAATAGGCACTGAGAAAATATATTATATAATATCTATTAAATATAGTAGCCAATACCTTGGACCAGGGTCATAAATACGACTAGAGTCCAATGGAATACCCATTGTTGTAATGCTTAAGGTCATGGGAACCACAACCCTTTCTGGTGTTGGTCACGGTGTTTTATGTATACGATACCACGTGTCAGTAATCATGGGAAACGAGACCTGACCTATTTCCATTTGACCGTTTTAACCCTTACGGGTTTTTTTTTATCTTAATACGGTACTCGACCTATTGACCGGTTGTTGACAATGAAACTGGGTACAGTAATTTTTTCAATGTTTGTATTTCCTCAAAAATTATCCCTGTTGGGTATTTTGTGCGTTTAATATACCTAAACTACAAGTATCTTATTAGACACTAATTTGTAGATATCATTGTAAAATTCAAAAGGTATCGATTTAAATGTATTGAAACTCACGGATTACTGTCATGAGCTATACAGGGTGTTCAGTAAGTCAGGAAACGGGTTTCTATTGTTCTCATTGTTTGTAACAATGAGAACAATAGATACCCGTTTCCTGACTTACTGAACACCCTGTATATAAAAAAAATAAAAGAATTTACAAGAAAACTGTGGATTTAAGAAAAACCAGATTTATTTTTTAATAATCTTTTTGCACTTATAAATAAAAACACATAATAAAATTTTCCAAAAGTATGTTATGGGTACTACTTATTATGAATACAAACTATAAATATCAACCACAGTTCAATATTAATTTAATGATATAATTTTGTATTTATTACCATAGGCGAAAGCATAGCGGACACAAGTACTTCATCACCAGACGTCGTTGGCCCAGTTTCCCCTTCTAGCCGATTAGATAGATCAGAACCATCTCCCGGATTAGTCATATCGATGGACAGGTAAACGATTTGTATTATTAAAGAGATAGACAATAAAAAAAAAAAAAACAGCGTTGATCGCGTGTTTCATGGATACAAGGAAAGTTTAGAAAAATCTGTTCAAAAACATTAGCTTCATGATTTTTTTGTTTTTTTTTTTTTAGGATGGCTTCATCGCCTGAATGTAGCATCAATACTGACGGCGGTCAAGACTCTACTGATATCAATGCCGGAGAGAGGGTGAGGGTAAAAGAGGAAGTATGTGAAGATAAAAAAGATGTAACGATTGCCAGTTACGAAAATGGAAGTGGTAGTTGTAGTGGCGACAAGACGGAACCGTCTTCGCCGGCAGCACAGCAACAACGCCGCGAATCCGTCGTGATGACCAGCCCCGTTAGTTGCGTGGTCAAGTCACCGCCTCCGACGTCCATGTCTTGGTCGCACACACCACCGTCGCCTCGGTGTACAACGCCCGCTTCGGAAAACTCGTCGTCCGTCACGCAGCAAAATCAACAGCGCCGACAATCTGTGGTGACGTCGGTGTCGTCCGCATTTTGGAATGCAACCGCTCAGCCCCCCGTTCCGGCGGTAACAGTGGCACCACCAGTACCTAACGCTGCAGTGGCAGCCGCTGCGGCGGCCGCTTCGGTTTTGTCCGTGTGTCGTATTAACGGTGTCCGGCCTGAACTTATCGGCGGAGCAGGTTTCGCGTCGACCACCGTACCACCGATTACCGACATGAAACCGCCGACCGCCATACCTCCCCGGACCACTCGGTCCGCCCCTACAGTCATCATGGGTGAAGCCGGTAAGTGAAAGGGCAACGATAAATGTGTAATATGTTTGATAATACGCGGGAACGACTATGTAGTTATTTTTTTGAGGTGTTAAATATTCACTGACTGCGTGAGCATATTTAGAACTCATTTTAGGGGAGGGCACGACTTGATTGTTTTTACTTTTCTAAAAGTGATGACCCAAAAAAAAAAGTCTTTAGAGCTGCGTTTCGTAAGTATCGGTTTTAAAAAAATATCAATATTTTTTAAAACCGATAAAACCGATCGCCCCCCTTATATACGCTCCTGACCGACTTAATTACTTCCGATTATACATTGTAAATGTCTAATTTTTGATTCTATTGAATCTCTAACTGATTTCTTTTGCAGGTGGTGTCCGAACCATGATCTGGTCTAGTCCACCGAGTACGGTGGAACAATCTACATCGCCAGCCACCACTGGTGCGGTACCGTCGACGGCGAATAGTACGCCGTATTGGTCAACAGCGGCTACTTGGTCGTCAACCACCTCATCGTCGACAACAGCACCTGCGGTCAGTGAAGAATCGGCGGCTCATTTGCTGCTAAATCTCGGTGTTGCGGCCGGTCATGACGGTTCATCCGTCATTAACCACATGCCTGGCCTGAAGCCCATCGGAAACGGTGGACAACAGACGGCCAACGGTGTTTCTAATAACGCCAGTGGGCAATCTAGTTTTCACGTGCCGCTCAATATGGAAAGGCTTTGGGCCGGTGATCTGTCTCAACTGCCAGTTGCATCGACGCAACAGATGCATGCCCTCAACCTTACTGCCAATACACCCACCGGTTGGCCCGTAACACCTTCCAACGGCGGCTCTGACAATAAGCCCTCCGTCGTCGTCAATTCTTACCATCAAATGGAAGAAGCTGACGAACAGGATCAACCAATGGTTTGCATGATCTGCGATGATCGAGCGACTGGTCTCCATTACGGAATAATTACCTGCGAAGGGTACGTATACAACATTCGTTTTGTTATTGAAAAATAGCAATATTTAATTATTTCAATCGTTATCAAATTTTTCTAAAAAATATAACAACAAAAAAACCTTTGAACCGCCACGATCCGATACTCATGTTCTGTCCAACGTGACTACATTATGCTCTGATCATATAATATTTTCAAAACAGTTAAGGAAACACGCTGTGTATTTAACGGGAAGGAATACGTCTCGAAAAACGTGCCGTAACGTATGGCAAAATTATCGACGGCAGTAACTGTTAAAAAANTATTGAAAAATAGCAATATTTAATTATTTCAATCGTTATCAAATTCTATTAAAAAATATTACAACAAAAAAAGCTTTGAACCGCCACGATCCGATACTCATGTTCTGTCCAACGTGACTACATTATGCTCTGATCATATAATATTTTCAAAACAGTTAAGGAAGCACACAGTGTATTTAACGGGAAGGAATACGTCTCGAAAAACGTGCCGTAACGTATGGCAAAATTATCGACGGCAGTAACTGTTAAAAAATCTAACGGTGTTGTGTACACCGTAGCTTGCCTTGTCCAAGGACGACGGCTTTTTTTTTTTACTANGCCTTGTCCAAGGACGACGGCTTTTTTTTTTTTACTACTACAAGGTTTCACACAGGTGTTGATCGTACTACGCACGCCTCTCGTTGCCGCTGCCTTATAGTATTTTCCCATTCATCCGCTCAATACAAATTATTAACACCGCGAGTATGGAGAGGCCTACCTTATTATAGTTAAAATATTATTAAATACATTACAATAAACGATAGTGTTGCGCAGCTATTCTCCTTTATAATATATTGTACTTTAATTACAGATGTAAAGGGTTCTTTAAACGTACCGTCCAAAACAGAAGGATATATACATGTATAGCAGAGGGCACGTGTGAGATAACGAAAGCTCAAAGGAATAGATGCCAGTATTGTCGGTTCAAAAAATGTATCGGACAAGGGATGGTCTTGCAAGGTGAGATTAGAACTTAAATATGTTTAATTTAATCTTCTTATTCTCGAGGTTAAAACTTTCGTTTTTTCTTTAGCCGTCCGAGAAGATCGAATGCCTGGCGGAAGAAATTCCGGCGCAGTTTACAATTTATACAAGGTAAGTGACATTTTTGCATGATAAATAATACTTAATAGACAGATTTTGTGACGAGAAAAAATATTTCTTATCAGGTAAAATACAAGAAGAAGCGACCGCCGAAGAACGGTCAAGTGAAAATGGAGAAATCAGTATCGTGTACCACGGCCAGCACGATGACTGCGATGAAAACCGAGAACCAAGACAGCTCGTCGTCCATTTCGACGCTGGTCAACGGTACCATACTTAAGACTGCTCTAACGAATCCTAGCGAAGTAGGTGTTTTTCTTATTGCGAGGGTTTTGATTTTTTCAAGATTTCAGTTGTAATTTTTTTGATATTTTTTAAAGGTTATCTATCTCAGACAGAGGCTAGACAATGCCGTGAGCTCGTCTAGAGATCGTACGTTCTCCATCGAGGCTACTGTCAACATGATTAAAAACCTCGTGGACTGCGACGAATTCCAAGATATTGCCACCCTTAGGGTACGCGTGAGTAACTGAATTTATTCACTAAACGAGCTTTTTTTATTCTACGTAAAGCTGAATTATTTGTGTTATTTTAGAATATGGAAGACTTGCTAGAACATAATTCTGATTTGTCAGCTAAACTCATGCAAATAGGCGACTCTATTGTGTACAAATTAGTACAATGGACCAAACGTCTACCGTTTTATTTAGAACTTCCTGTTGAAGTAATTAATTTTTTATTTCGAAATGTCAATCTACTTGATTTTCCTTATTAAATTTTCGGTTGTTTTAATATAGGTACACACCAGACTATTGACTCATAAATGGCACGAGTTACTGGTGTTAACCACATCTGCGTATCAGGCCATTCACGGGCCACAAAAGATATGGAGTTCTGGTAATATTAACGGTGGTGACCGAAACGACGACACTGAGTTCAACCAGGAAGTATCACATAACCTGCACATTTTGCAGACCTGTCTGTCGTCAATGATGGGCAAACCTATCACGATGGACCAGTTGCGACAAGACGTGGGCGTCATGGTAGAGAAAATCACTCACGTCACATTGATGTTCAGGCGATTAAAATTAAGAATGGAGGAATATGTTTGCCTGAAAGTCATTATCATGTTGACACAGAGTGAGTATATCTATCCGTTGTTTTTCGATAGGTCTCAACAATTGTTTTACTAATTAAAAATGTTTGTTTTTTACAGATAATGGAAGTACCGCTAGTGAGTTAGAAACAATTCAAGAGAGGTACACGTCGTGTTTGAAGACTTACGTCGAGCACACCTTCCCAATGCAACCAAACAGGTTGCAAGATCTCCTAAATCGACTACCAGAGGTAAGCGAAAATCTTTCTCTAAATTATAGGTTCAATTAATAAATGAAAGATCAAATATATTTACCAAATAAATATTTAATTTTTTAAATAATTGACAAATTAAAATTTTTTTTTTCTAATAATTTCTATAAATAATTATAAAATTATAAATATACTTTTTAGATATTTTTTTTTATCATTTATATTTTCATTCAAATCTTGTTTGTTTCTTATTTCATTAATATTTCCAGAAAAATTAAAATATTATTAATGTTAATTACAACTATAGAAATCTTAAAATAAACAACATACAACTTTTTACAGATACAATCAGCAGCTTCACTTCTGTTGGAATCTAAAATGTTTTACGTACCTTTCCTGTTGAACTCGACTATTCGAAGCTAGTCGGAAGGACCAATAAACATAAGAAAATTATAAATATAATGGTTGTTAAAATATAAATTGTAGAAAATCTAGGAAGAGTTACCAAAATACGCGGGAGAGAAAATTAAAATAGCAGAAAAAAATTTAGATTGATAAATTTTACTGTTTGCGCTCGACCTCTGTTGTTTTACTTGTTGTTTTGTAGGTAATTTATGCGTTATTAATGATTTTTACGTGTTATTTAAATAGACCGCGATTGATTTACTAGAAATTATTTCACATTGTTTTAGTTTTTTTCTTGTTTATGACTTATGTATGTATTAATTGTGTTTCGAATGGAACTTAGTTATTTCCCTATATGACTTGGGAGTTATTTAAATATATTATAAAAAAATCACCTAGGGAAGTATTTTGATGTCTGAGTTATAAATATGTGTATGTTTATATTATGATATAGGAAACACGAGTGTTTGTTTATTGAGAGCCATATATATATATATATATATATGTGTGTGTGTGTATATATTTGTACGGGTTACACTATGTACTAATTAGATTAAATCTTTGTAATACAGTCTTTGTATTTTTATCGTACAGTACCTAATAGTAAAAATACTTTATTTATACAAAATAAGTTGAATTTTTGTTGTTTATTATTTTTATTCCTTCTTATATTTCTATTATACTTATTATGAATAAGACTGTAGGTAAAAAGAGGGTGAATGCGCACAGTATTTATAATTAGCCTTGTAAAATTTTAAAACAGAAAACATTATCATGCATTGAATTCTATTTTATTTAAATATTTCTATTTATCTGTACAAATTATTTTTGGTACTTTCAAAAAACAGTACTTTTGTGATTTTATTAAATATTAAATATAGTATAATATATATTACAATACATATAAATATAAATAGACATTAATTATAGTACGAAATTAGTTGTTACTAATACAATTATTATTAATTTATATTTATATTCATAAATATAAATAAGAATAATTGATAGTTAAACTACTATATATATAGTTATGGTATTTTACATAGATTAATTTGTTTAATTTAAATACTTAATTTTTTTAAGCAATTCACTGCCAGTATATGTTATTAAATTTTGCATAATACTACTTTTATATTTTCATAAAGAATAATTTAATATAAATATACATAATGGTATATAAATTTAACTATATTCATACATATATTTTTATAGGTATACAATATTCTTTCAAAAAAAATATTATAAAAAAATGTCCTATATGATTATTTTTTACTTTTCTTTGCTAACAATTGTTTAATATGTTCTAAATAGCTTTTTGTAATAGATTTTCTTAGTTATTGTTCATGTTTTATTCCTTATGCAACTTTTAGGTTACCAGTAAACAAAAATAATTTACCTCAGTCAAATAGAAATCACAAACAATGATATTGTAGTTACTCATTTATTAAATAAATAATTTATCTGTAATAATTAAAAATAAAATTGTTATTGTGGGTAGTTAAGTTAAAGTTACCAATTTTATCACTCCTAAAAACATTGAAACAAAACTTTATAAAATAATAAATTTGAAAAATATGCAATCTAGGTAAAGCACATTACGTATATATATATTTATTTCAAACATGTTCCTTTAGTTTAACTGGTAAGATTTTCAATGTAAATTTTTTCCAATATATAGTGTATTTTTTTTTTTTTTGTTATTATTAAATAATTTTGGGAATAGGTATTATCTTGTTTAACCTTTTTATGATAAATTCTAACCTTATTTTATTGATTGTTAAATCTGTGTTCCAACATTACTAACATTGTATTTGAAAACAAGATTTTTTTGTAAAATGTTTATTATATGTAATGTATTTAAGGACTTATAAACAATATAAATGTATAGATGTTTATGTGTTAACCACTGACTGTTAATCTGAAAATTGGTGCCTTGTGCTTGTACCTATTTTTGTTTATTTTGTTTTTGTGACAAAATCTTTGATAAATCAATGTTATTAGAAATGTAGGCTATTTGATAAAAATAAACTTTAGAGCAATAAAAGTTTAAAAAAATTAAATTTATTGATGACGATTTCTTTAATGATTAGTTTTACTATAATATGTACTAATCATTCAAATTTTTATCAAAAAATAATATTTTTTACAAAATTTTACATATTTCTATAATCATATGTACTGAATCAATGTCTGCTTATATTTAGTGTTAACATTTATATTATATAAAATACTATGTCTAAGATTATATATAATTTTGCATTTGAAATATTTTTAATAATAATTTTAACACTAAGCTATCTTTCTTGACTATTCCGAAAAATTCATGAATAAAGTGATATTAAAAAAATAAAAAAAAAAACGTTTAATAATAATAGAACCACATTATCTTTTCGAAAATGATACGTTAACATTTTTTAAATTATAAAACTGGATCATTTTGGAATGGATGAATTGAATCCATACATATATATACAATTAGTATGATTTAGATTTATTTAATGAATTTAATATTTCAGATGTAACTTAAAAAGACAATTTTATACATTTCATACAATTTTTTTTACTTTGAAAAAATAATGTGATAAATTAAAATTTAAAAAAAGCTCAATTTTCGGTATCTTTTATAATAATTTTGTATATTTCCGAAATTTAGATTATATTGCTTACAGCATTTCTTTATAGCTTTCTATTAAAAATAATTTGATTTTGTTACATGTTAATGTATAAACTTCATTTAATCTAGTTGGATATATTTTATATTGATACATAGCCTACATGACTTAAAACGATATATGTTAAGAAAATTTAATTTATATTTTGTACATATGTTTAAATATTATAATAACCAACATTTTTTTTTTTTGTAAATAAAATGTTCAGTCAGTATTCGTACAAATGGTTCTTTATAGATATTCACTGTTCATTACCTTAAAGCAAATTTTTTTTTTTAATATAGTTCAAGTATAAAGAAATATACGTATATTATATATATATACGTATATTTATAATTATATTTTAAGTATTATTCAGTATCATAGACTATTTAATACTTACAATATACTTATAGTTGAGGTAATAACATAAATTGATTAAATACGCTGATAAAGTAAAAAAGGGAAATTATATGTTGTTCATTTTTATTTTACTACTTTTTTTCTTTTATTTTTATTATTCATCTTAAGTATTGATAATACTATGAATATTAGTTTTGTTTGTTTGTTCAAATTTTACTTTTACTTTTAAAATTATTAGTTACATTTTAATTTAGTTATCACTAAAAAAGAAATTGTCAATATATTTTATTTAACAATTTTTTTTAAATTTCTATAAAATTTAAATGCATTTTTTTACAGATATGTACTTTTGAAATTTCTTAGCAAAGAATGAGTGAAACTTATAGGATAGGTAATCATTTTAATTAGAAATTTTTTTTAAATTTACGTTGAAATAATCATTTTTTGCTGTAAAGAGTATAATGTATCATATTACAACGAAACACATATAGTATCTCTATATTATAAAACAAATTATATAAAATATAATTGTTCATCATCTTTAAATCTAAAGAGATAATTATCTTAAAGAAGACATCTTTAATTCCTCATAGTTTATAAATCTTTAATGGTTAGAGTATAACCTATTTAGTCTTAAGATTAATTATTCATGAATATTTTTTTATAATTTTTAGCTTTTTATTTGATACTTACAGTGCACACTTGTTCAAAATTAAAGCACTATCTTACTGATAAAATGCAAATTCAAATAGGAATTTTGAAACTATATTATTTTTTTAAATAGTGATTTTCAATATTTCATATTACATTTTAATATAAACCAATATTTCGGCGAGATTTATTGGCAGCAATAATATATTTATTTTTTACAAAAAAATATAATTATGTTTTATCAAGTCATAATTTACTATTTGACATATTTAAGTAAATATGTCAATAAATAAAAGTTAGTGTGATATGAACATAAAATATACAAAAAATAATATTAAAAAAAAAATTGAGCGACTTCATATTAAATATTAATAAAGCTAATGAATATAATGTAAATATAAACATTGGTTATAAATGAATAACAAGTATAATTCAGTGCCTAGAGAAAGTAATTAATAAATATTAATTCCCCAGAAATTTTAACAGATATTCTTTAATTGCAATTATCAAAGCTGTATGGACACAATGTTGGATTAAAAGTTTGATAAGTTCAAATAACAATTTGCATACATTTTTTAATTAAATATTTTTAATTTCTATAATTTAATCATGATTTGTTAACTTAAGATTAATAAATGAAAAATATTACCCTCAGTTCTCTGTGTTACAGTTTATCTGTAATGTAACAAAACTACGTTCACGTTTAAAAATTTTTTGTTTTAGAAATAATTTATTACCTTGACTTAATAAAAAATTAACATTTTTTTTAATTTGCTTGGGAACTCCCCTATAATAATAATTGTGCAAAAGTAATTGTGATGTACTATTATCACTCAAGTAATCACGTCATTACTAAGTAAGAAAGAGAAATATAAAGTAATTTCTAACTCAAATGTGGACAACTTTTAAGAGTTTAATTACGTTTATATTTTCTTTCGTATTAATGAATTTTAGAAGATATGATATTAATTCATAAATTATGGAAAGTATCATTAAATAAGTTAAGGTATTTGGCTCAATAGACCATACCAACACATACAGAATATCCCAGATAGTTCTAACAAGTCCTATAATTTTTGATTGAGTAAATATTATTCAGTAATTTTTCTTAAATAATTGTTATATCTTTGGACTATAATAATATCATAATTTATGATGTTTTTTTATTTTAAAGAAAAAAATATGTTGAAAAGTAGATTAAAAAAAAAAATTTATTAATGTACAGTAGTTAAATGTTTACAATATTTTAATATTTGAAAAAAATTGAAATTTTACGGTGGTAAGAGTTGGTCTATGTTGTGAATTTTATTTTATTTTTGTACTGTATAATGACTAATAAACTTTTTATGATATAGGTAAAAAACATGAATTAATAATTATTATAAAATTTAAATTTATTATGGCTTTGATATTTAATAATTTAATATTGTAATATTTACGGAGAAATTAAAAAAAGTGTTTGCATTATTATATTATTAGCCACTAAATTTCTCTTAAAATAATNGTGTTTGCATTATTTTATTATTAGCTACTAAATTTCTCTTAAAATAATTATTATTTTCAGAAAATTCTGTTTGGAATTTTTAATTTCATATATTTTCTGATTTTTCAATTATGTATTTATAATGGCGTTAACTTTATTTTTTTAATAGACAACATACATATTTAACTTGCCTATAACATAATAAATGATCTAATTAAGAAAATGACTGATAGATAGCAATTTTTGAAATTGTACTCAGAATTTATTAATATATTTGTAGTATTAAATTTTAGTATATATAGTAAATAATACATACACTTAATAAAAACATATCACCAAATCAGTCTTTCCTGGTGAATAAGATGAATAAANCCAATTCAGTCTTTCCCGGTGAATAAGATGAATAAAAAAAAACCCACCACAAGGGGTTCGCGGCATAGTGGTGCCGTGGTATAGTTGGATCAAGTATAATGATATTTGACAGTGATTAAAATCACTATAAAAAATAAACGTTTCGATGCAAATATTTAGGTAGTGTTTCATTTAAAAAAAATTGGTGTTTTATTCCAAAAGCTACATGATCTGCTGGTTCCTTATTAATATCTTGATTAAGATAAAGTATGTCGAATGAAAAAGGGTTTATTAAAAAATATTATTTCTCATAAAAAATTTGTGTGGATCCATACACATTTTAATAAGTTATAGCATTATAAAGTTAAATATAATATAAAAAATAAAATCGAAAATTTTCACACGAAAATAGCATTTGGTAGCTATTTTC